GTAGTGGGTCCCAACTTTGGAGACAAGTTGGTATATAAATAAATAAGAGAAAGAGAAAGAGAGAGAGAGAAAGATTCATTATCATTAGTTGTAAACAGTATTAAAAATAATTCATTTTTCTTGGTGTGTGCCATCAAGTTGACTCTGGCGTATGCTGATATTATCCCAGGGATTTCTTAGCAAGATTTATTCAGAGGTGGTTTGTCATTTCCTTCCTCTTAGACGGAGAGAAAATGTAACTTGCCCATTAGAAGATCCATTCACCATCCATTCAGGAAACATTTTATGTAAAGCTAACAAAGGCTGCATCCGCACTGCGGAAATAATCCAGTTTGGCGCCGCTTTAACTGCCGTGGGTCAATGCTTTAAATAATTTACAGTCTGTTAAATAGTTTTGTGCATGAAACAAAGTTTATGTACACTGAACCATTAGAAAGCAAAAGTGTTACTATTTGAACATCTAATAATAATAATAATAATAATTTGGCTTTTGGAGTATTTTGGATTTCGGAATTCAGATAAGGGAGACTCAATCCGTAATTCCAAGTAGAAGGTTTCAGAAGTAGTTTACATCATTCCCTGAGCAGATAAAAATAAAATAATAATAAAAAAATTAGTGCCATTGGTTGTGCTTAAGAGTTGGGAGATGCCTAATGTAGCTATGGATTACTCTTGGTTGACTACTGTATAGTCTTTTTGCAGAACTTCTGAATGTAACATTCTTTATATAATATTATATTCAAGTATAACGCCAGGTCGTCGTCGTTTTTAAAGGAGTGGTTTTTGTAGAAAACAAGAAAAGGCATTGCAACCACAGGACATTAACCTTTTCACTCCATGTACAACCATTCCAATTTTAATTGGTTCTTTATGGTTATTGTGGGGATAAAATGCTCTTTTATAACCTATTCTGATGGCCAATTTAAACCATATCTGAGGATGTTCTCTAGAGTAATGAGTGCTATAAAGCACACCGCTCAATGCAGTGCTTTTTCTACACCATGAAGTAAATGTCAGGTTGACTTCTAGTTGTTGCTGTTGTGAATATTATATTTATATTCATCTTTGTATTCATATTTAAACAGCCAGTGTAGTGTACTGGTTTCAGCATTGGATGACGATTCTGGAGATCAGGGTTCAAGTCCTCACTCAGCCGTGGAAACCCATTGGGTGACCTTGGGCGGGTAACATACTCTCAGCCCAGAAAATCCCAAGACTGGGTTGCCAAAAGTTGGAAGCAGCTTGAAGGCATGCACACAACAACAACAATAACATTTATTTTGATTTATGAAAAATTGCATTGGTACTCTGTTGTAGTAACTACTGGTTGAATGGGATCCAAATGAACTGTTTTGCTTTGGCTGCAGAAGTGAACCAGAGTTCGCTAACTATGTTTTGAAAATGGTGGTTACTTCCATGAAGATGGAAAATGAAGAACAGGAGTTTTGTATCAAAAAGTTCTTATAGCCCATCTTTTTGATTTTCCTCTCTGATGACATCTAGGGACAAGAATGCTTTTTACCTTTATATAATTTGAGATACATGCTGTACCTGAAATTAATGGATAATGACGTTCTTAATAAATATATACATAACATTTGATGTATCTTTCCTCTCATTTTTCCCAGATTGCCTATTTACCAGTTTTGAACTGCACATTTCTTCCCAACCAGGGCATGTTTTGACATGACAAATGTCTGATGGGCCCAAAAGAAATGCTTCTCTTAAAAATCTTAAAACTCAGACAGGTTTCTATGGGATAATACTGTCAACTGACATTCAGATAGGTGGGTCCCAAGTCATCTAGCTAGCACTCAATTGCACCTTGTTCAATGGCATTTACTCACAGGAAAATGCGTATAGGAATCTAGCCTAAACTGAGTTTATTAAGTTTGACTGTGGTGACGGAATAACTTAAAAAAGAGAATTAGAGAACACGATGTCGACAGATCCAGGCGGAGACAAATGGAAACCAATAAGCTCTCTATTACTTCCATCTCAGGAAAGATGCACCGTTTAATTGGCTTGAAAGGAATGACTTCTGGCATCTGCTTAATGAGACACTCGATCTATTCTGCAAATTGCCAGTGTTGTGGGTTTTTTAAATTGCCAATGAACATAATAAGGCTGTTCAGTGGAAAACATATTAGCTGCCTGTTTGCAATAACATCACTGGTAAAGGGGAATTATTTAAAAAAAAAGATGTCATCTCTTGGTCCATCGCTTGGTCACATTGCCATGTCACTATTGCACACAATTTTACAGTGGCGTTGCTGAGGTTGGTGTTGTCCAGTGTGAGGAAGTGGTACCCTTTGGGGTGTCACCCGGTGTGGTCCGTATCCCCTGCACCCCCATAGTGATGCCTCTGCAAGTTTGTGAAGGCATAGTCTCATCTGGCCTCTTTCCTGGACGTTCTAGGAATTCCTAGAAGCTTGTTGGGACATACGGAAGACTTCTTGGTCCAGAACGTCTTCCTCCAACACATGGAAGACATCAATGACAATATGACACAAAGGGTGGGGACATCACACATGGGCTCCCTCTCCCCATCATGCAACTGGAATCACATGAAGGTGAAGACCTTGGAGCAACATGCCCAGGCTTATAAATAGAGTTTATTTGGTCAGCTAGGATGACGAGAAACTTTATCCAGGTGGCAATGTCAAAAATGCTGCATAACATTGGGGGAAATATAGTTCCTTACCTACCTTAATATATTTCACAATTCGAGTATGTGTTGTTGTGTGACTTCAAGTAAAGTTGAAGGCTTTCGTGGCCAGCATCCATAGTTTTTTGTGGGTTTTTTGGGAGGTGAAGCCGTGCTCTAGAAGAATGTATTCCTGATGTTTCGCCTGCATCTGTAGTATCTTCAGAGAATGGTGGCATGGAAGATGCCATCTCTGAAGATGCCAGCCACAGATGCAGGTGAAACATCAGGAATACATTCTTCTAGAACACGACTTCACAGCCCGAAAAACCCACAAAAACCTATGACTTCAAGTAATTTCCAACTTAGTGACACTAAGGCAAACCTATCATGGGGTATTCTTGGCAAGATTTGTTCAGAGGAGGTTTGCCATTGCCTTCCCTTGAGGCTGAGAGAGTGTGACTTGCCCAGGGTCACCAAGTATGTATAGACATCAACTATTACATTATGGAGGCCAGCAACTTATTTTCAACACAGTTGCGGTCTTGCCTCTCTCTCATACACCAAGTTCCTCCTTGCAAATCATTTCTTTAACAAAGCCACTTCTGGACCTTGCACAAATTTTGTGTCTATTGCATTTAGTGCTGCTAGGATTTCAAAACAACACTAAGGGACAGTTGAAATTCATGACATTCATCAGAAAGGAGGTATCTGTAAGTTTGTGTTCTGACTACCAAATGAAAGTACTGATTTCAGTTAACCTAGCTGTGTGTTCCTCTGAAAAACTATTGTCCACATGCATGATGCACACATTTCTGTTTTTATGAAGGGTCCTCACCCCAAAATAGAGATTTTTTGGGGGGAGCATCATCTTCAGTCTATATAAAAGGAAAAGCTTTCCAAATAGGGGGCATCCCTTCTAATAAGGCACACTTGCCAGACCTATAAAGGACAAGCTTTCCAGCCACCAAATCACTGGCATCCCTTATAATAAAGGGCACCTAGCAACCCTTGCTGCATTTTAGATATTCTCAATTTCCATCTGACATTGGGGCCCTTTTTAAAATTCCTATATCAGCTTCCCGTCTGATCCTAGATCTAACACAAACGTTTTCAAGTTTTTTGTACCCTCATCGTACTATTTTTGTAGCTCTCTTTGGATTTCATCAAAGCCCAGATGCTGAGGGACTTTCTCATACCTGGAACCAGCTCCATGGACACCATCATACTGCTAGCTTTCCCTCTCTATTCAAATCCTTTCTCCAAACCCAGCCTCTCCTCCAAAACTTCAGCACAAGCCCTTAGCCCTCCAGCCGTTGTACATCTTCAAGTTGTTGCCGACTCATAGCAACGCTAAGGCGAACCGATCAGAGGCGTACCTGAGGCTGAGAGTGTGTGACTTGCCCAAAGATACCCAGTGAATTTCCATAGCTGAGTGGAGATTTGAATCCTGGTCTTGAGTCACAGTGCAATGCTCAAACCATGCCACGCTGGCTCCTAGCCTTTGTGTATAGAGCAAAATTAATGCAAAATAAATAAATAAATAAATAAATAAATAAATAAATATCTTCCCTGGTTTGCTTCCATTTTGTTCCCTTCCTTCTCTTGCCTCCCTATCTAAAATACAGGACTGCAAAATTTTTAAGGCACAGACCTCTTTTCTGTAACGCATCCTCTCCGGTGGCATTTGAAAACTACAGTAAAGGCACTGACAGTTTGGCAGTACATACAATTCTACTTAATAATAATAATAATAATAATAATAATAATAATAATAATAATTTGTATCCCGCCCCTCTGCAGAGCAATACTTCATGAATTACTTGCAATGATTTTGATTAATTTATTAAAGCATTTGGCTTTTCCTTTCGGATGAGATCTGCAGAAATGAGAAATTACACAAATTAGCCATATGTAACAGATGTAATACTTTGTTGGAGGCTGCATCCGCACTGCAGAAACACCCCAGTTTGATTCCACTTTAAGTGCCAGGGCGCCATGCTATGGATTTCTGGGAATTGTAGTTTGTTGTGGCACCAGAGGTGCCACAACAAACTACAATTCCCAGAAATCCATAGCATGGCGCCCTGGCACTTAAAGTGGAATCAAACCGGATTATTTCTGCAGTGCGGATGCAGCCAGAGAAGGGGTTGCATATCTGGACACTGGCATGCACTGAGCAGAATGAATGACCAAACCAGCATTGAGATTTCCTAGCCTGATTTGAAACATTCTAGTGTTGCCCCCTTGTGTCTATTATTATTATTATGCCATATTCCTAATTTCTCCACAAATCCATTCTTATTGTAGCAAGGATGGGAAAGCAAATAACTGGTGGCTTTCAGGGTATCGATCCAGCATGGCACAGTGGTTTGAGCATTGGACTATGACTCCAGAGACCAGGGTTCAAATCCCCGCTCTGGCAGAAAACCCACTGGGTGTCCTTGGGGGAAGTCACACTCTCTCAGCCTCAAACCTCCTCTGAGCCAATCTTGCCATGAAAACTCTGTGAACCTTAGAGTTGCCATAAGTCAGAAACGACTTGAAAGCACACAACACCCACATTCAGGGTATTGCTTGACTGTAACTGCCATTACCCCGCATCACTGGCTGTGTTGGTTAGACCTGATGGGAGCTGCAGTCCAACGTTTGGAAAGCCTCATGCCCCTCAACTTTGTTCTATAGTCTCCAAGATGTGTGCCTTCAAGTCATTTCCGATTTATGGTACCCCTAAAGCGAACCTATCTTGGGGTTTTCTTGACAATATTTGTTCAGAGGTGGTTTGCCATTGCTTTCTGCTGAGGCTGAGAGAGTGTGACTTGCTCAAAGTCACCCAATGGGTTTCATGGCTGATCTGGGAATCGAACCCTGGTCTTCAGAGTTGTAGTCCAAGCTTTGCCACACTGGCTCTACGTTTTGAATAATAGCTGCCGTCGCACCACAAAATTAATGGTTTGAAACTGTTTTAACCGTCATGACTCCATGCTATGGAATCCTGGGATTTGTCACCAGAGCTCTCTGACTGATGAGGCTATATAGCTCACAGAACTACAAATCCCAGCGTTCCATAGCATGCAGCCGTGGCAATTCAAGCGGTGTCAAACTGTGTTAATTCTGGAGTGGAGACGCAGGTCAGGAAAACTGTGCAGAACTGCATTGCTAAATGTATTTTGAAAAGTATTCCATTAACAGTGTAGACTCAAGATTGCTAGTAGCCTTTTTTGTGTAGGTTTTCACATTTCACACTGGCAACAGAAACAGCAGACCGGCCGTTAAATAGGTTCTTACATAGCTGGTTTGATAATTGCATCGCTATATATGTGATAGCAGTTGTATTGTGGATGTATGTATGTGTGTGGATAGATAGAGAGATAGATAGATAGATAGACATACACACATAGTGAACCTAAGGCAAAACGATAATGTTAAATAGGTCCTTATATCACAGGTTTGATCATTATATCACTATATATGTGATGGCAGTTGTGTATACACACACAGAGTGACCTCAAGGCAAAACAATAACATTAAATAGGTCCTTAT